CACAAAGACTGATGATCATCTGGAGACCTGCCTGCACCTCTCACCCACCTCATACTGCCCACCTATGAGACCCTGGCCTCCTCTCAGTGTCAGAAGTCCCACTAAGGTAGACATACACTTATTTTTATATAGACTGAATAAAATGTTGGATTGTGTATTTGAAAAGTTTTAAGTGAACGGTGATAAAACTAAATGCMTCCTTTAGCAGAGCAGCTCGTTAGCTGCACGTGCATTTCATAAACACACATTCATAGTTGTGATTTCTTGTTTCTGTGTGCATATAATTATATAATCTTTATGCCAAAAACCCCTTTGTCATTTAAAACACAATAAAAAACCTCCAACGATACTTTACTTCAACAAAAAGACTTGTTGTGCAGTATACACTGATTTGTCTTAAATAATAAAGCAATAGAAAAGCAGTTATCTTACTAGATGTAAACTTTATCAGGATAAACTAATTGCATTAGATGCTAAAAATCATAAGTACAGATGCACACAGGTAAATCAAATTTCAGCATAACGCCTCTGAAATCTAAAAACAGCTTCCAAAGATAATTAAAGTTGAATATGATAATAGAAAAGTTATTTTCTTTTTTGTTTAAATTTCAAAACAAAATTTTTAGAGCTGTAATCATAATACCATCGTACCGTGAAACCATGATATTTTTGCCCAAGGTTATCATACCGTCATAATTTCATACCGTCCCATGCCTATTTATAAGTGATTTTATCTACAAAAGTGCTCATGTTTTTCCACATAGATTTCTTTCTTATTTAATGTTGATCTGACTTATACTGCATTGATAGTCAGTATTGGGCTCTGAGGATGCCTTTGAGCCTACCAGCTAACATTTACTCTGTTTACTTTTAATATTTTTATATTTATTTTATTATATGTAAATTATTTGACCAAAATATTAGCTAAAAGAATTAAAAAGTGAGGCAAACCGTTGTAGGGGATTTTCTGTGTGAAATTAGTATGTCCTCTTGAGTGTAGGTTTTCTCAGACAGACCATAATCATGATGGTTGTCTGTCTTGCTTGTCTCTGTGTCCCTGTGAAGGACTGTCCAGCAACCTGGTCAGGGTGTCCCCCTCCTAGCACACAATGACCACTGGAGTTAGGCAGCAGGTGGTGTGCAACACTGAATGGAAAAGCGGTCAAATAWATAGGACACAGGTGCACTGCACCCTTTTGGTTTTGCTCTGATTGCTAAAAATGCAAGATTTTGTATTTTTTAAAGGTTAATTTTTTTCTCAAAACTGGACTTTAAATCAGAGCATGAAGTGATTTATGACAAACTGTGAAGCGTTAAGTTTATACACCTTAACCTTTCAGGGAGGTGATTCTGACCAGCAAAGCTCACACAACTTAAACTAAATGTTTCTTGTTTAACTAATATGAAACATTGTAAGCACTAACAGAGCTTTGAAGGACGTTAAGCCTATGACTCAGATTTATACAATGAAAGAGAGACAGACACCTTCTTTTTTGAAATTAAAAATATTTTATGTGCTGAAATAAAAATCAAAAACTTGCCATAGAGCTTTGTAAATCACTCTGAAGCAATATTATGTGTTTCTCAGGCATATATTTAAATTCTATACAGTAATAAAGTGTCTATGTCACCTTTATAAATAAACTAAAACTCTTCTTCTCATCATTTCTGTTTCTAAACACCTTGAAATAGGTTTCTGTCTCTTTAAGTTTCTGTCTCTTTTGGTTTCTGTCCTTCCGCTTCTATCCCACCCATTTCAACACGTGGGGGGTGGTACGCACATGCGTTGTGGGGGTGTGGGGGTGGGGGCTGTGATACGGAAGCTCAGTGTAGTTTACTTGGCATCTGAAAACACATTTCCTCAAAAGTATTTTGAATTTGAAAAGGGCTGCACTCCGAAGTAGTGTTGGGAGCTCAGCAGACAGTTTCAGTTTCACCAGTTGTTTGCTTTGTTGCTGCAGAGAGCCTGCAGGAGTCATGGGCGGGGTGTGAAGGGTGGGGGAGTGCTGAGGAAGCTCAGCTTGGAGAGACAGCCCAGAGGAGGAGCTGATCCCAAAAAGCGGTTCTAGTCCCAACCGGTGGTTTTTGCTCCCTTGCCTGGCTGCCTCAGGTCACTACAGGGTTTCTAAGACTCTGGGCATGTTTTTGATGACAGGATAACATTATAACATGATATAAAACTCTAAAAAGTTGATTTTACATGATATAGCCCCTTTAATAATTGTGATTGTTCTGTGATTTAAAATATTTGTGAAAGAATAAATTCAGCGTTATAGAAGTCTTAGCAAAGACTTAATGGTTCATTTTGATCTTCACTAATTCAACCAGCTGCCATTAAAAGAGCTCTCTACAACTGGTAAAATATTATTAATTCATACCAGTTCCCCAAAACCCAACTTTCAAATTACAAAAAAATCCTTTAAAATCCATTAAGGAAAGTTTGACATTATTAATATTTAGATTATTTTTGTTCACTTTAAATACTCTAACTTGCTTTCCTGAATGGTTTTTCACATTGTCAAAGTTTTAAAGTGGGACCTCTTTGGTTTGTTATACAGATGCTGGTTGTTGGCATGTCAAGTTACAGCTCCAATCAACAAAGTTTAAACACCCCGATTACCTCTTTTACAGTCTGATCTATATATGCCTGTAAATAAGGAAATACTTAAATATTAAATTATATTACATTAGTATATTATTAATACTTAACAGAGATTATTAGACAGTTTATTAACATTGCAGCCAGTTTGACAATCAGGATAAAGCAGTGGAGAATGCATCAGTGTCCTGACACAACCTTTAGTAAAAGGATGCAGGTCATGTGTAAATCTCAACATGTTTAGAAAGGGAGCTCACACACCACCTAAACTAACAAATAATATATGTAAAAGAATCAGTGACTAAACCAGACATGTTGGAAAACTCCTGCATGTTCCGATTCAGACGATTTGGTTAAAAAAAACGACAACCAAACAAACAAGCTAGAATTCTGTTGGTGATTTTGTTTGCCTAGAGTCGAGGGCCAAAATCTACAGCTGAGAGGGAAGTTTCTCCTTGTTGCACACTGTGACAACAATCTGCTGCAGGTTGGAGCAGGAGGCTAAATGCAGCCTGCAGAGACACGACAAAGTTGGTGCCAATCACAGAGCAGCATAGTTCAGATGTGGAAAATAAGGACAAGTAACAGTTTCTAAAAAAGTACAAGTCATAAAAGCTGCCAGACTCCCTGGGATGAATATAAATAAGGTTTTATGCAACACTGTCATGCTGTCGACTCATTCACAAGTAAAATAAAYAAACAAAAATGTTAGTGGGCTGCATTAAATGGAGTAAAATGACAGATGTTTTAAAGATGATATGATACAAGCTTGTGAATTTCTTTTTTTTTTTATGAACAAGAAAAGTGCTAATGCTTTCTTTATTATCCACCCCTCAATAAAAGGAGATGAGTTCTTTGTGCTGCATCTTTCAAAAAGTCATTTGAGGAGTCCTACAAATCAGGACTGTTTTTAAAGCAGCAGCACTGATATAAGAACACATTAAATAAATGTTAAATGTTCTGAACAGTTCTGGTTTTAGTCCTACACACCTGTTACATCTTAGTTTAATGGTCCGATTCTCATTACAAAACTTTAGTCTTGTTTTAACTGCCTACACTTTTTTATTCCTTTTCCTAGACTTCGGAATATTTTCAAACATACAAGGTTTAAAAATKAGCTTTTTTTCCAAACTGGACACCAACCAGGCTTTTGCAGACACTGGTTGGTGTCCAAAAATGTTGTAGCTCCAAATTGTTGGAACCAGACTCGAAACACCATCTGTGTGTTTTTGCTTTTAACTTTGTATAAACAGCATTTCACAATGCACTGTTTGTAACTGCATTGTTTTACACTTGAACTTAATTAACCAGTATTTGACAATTCATTTTTGTTGTAATTTGGCTCTAAAGAAATAAATTGAACTGAAATTTGTGACATTATCTTTTTGATTGCTTTTATTGATTTGAACTGATTTGAGGTCTTTTATTACACCAGTTTTGCTGACCTATTTTGATGCGAGTACTTTATTTGGTTGCATTGATGTGAAATGTGCTTCAGAAATAAACTTGGCCCGACTTGACTTCAGTGGAGTCAGCTTCCAGTCCTTTGTGCCGCCCGTCTCTCAGAGAAACCCACTTGCTCTGAGCGCGCTGACGTCTGGTTGCTCTGTGAAGACATTTGTCAGCCAACCTGTTCTGTGCCATCAACAATGAGAGGGCGTGGACCTTATCCATTTACACAGTACAAGCTGTTACACTGCGCTCAACACTGAGCTCGGCCAGCGTCTGTGTCAGTGCTGTGGAAGAAGACGAGGCAGCGCAACTGGCGGCCGGCCAGGCCAGCATACTAAACACAAGAGTGGAAACAAAGCAGCGAGGCTGACGAGGAGAGAGGAGGAGCTTGGCTGAGCTTTTTATCACAGGCCCATAATTCACTCCCCTTGTAAACACGGAGGAAAAGCTGTCTACCAACACACTGCTGCTTTACGTAGGCACACTCGGAGCTGAATAAAGGATCCYGTGGCTCACAAAACCAGCTCAAATAAGCCTGTGGTTCTCCAGTTTGAATTTCAGCTAAACTGGAGATTCTGTACTGCTAAAAACTGACAACACTGAATCTGTGAACAGTGGAGTGTCTGCTGCTGGGCATGACCTTTAAAACTAAAGACTATCTGTCAAACACTTTCAGTCAGAGGCAGCCTTCCCAGGGTGAACGCAGCATTCTCACACTTGAAACATTTGAGCAGAAACAACAAAGACCAACAACTCCACCCATCCAGCAGCCCTTCCCTTTCATTCACTCAGATTGTTGTTTGATCAGGTATGGCTGGCGTCTGAATCTGGACAGAAAATACTGGTCGATCCAGAGAGGCCCAGCAMAGGAAACACGCTGGCAGGAGGAAATAGATCCTGATACAGAAGAAGAAAAGCCAAAAACACGGTCGGCGATAGTGGCGCTTACCTTCTCCAGTTGTTGTCTGGAGGTGGTGACAGGTACACGGCTCCATAAGGAGAGCTCTCCACGTGCAGCTTTAGTTAAGGAAATTACCATCACAAACACAAAAACAATACTGCAAGGTCAACAAGGTTACCTTCGCACAATGAACAAAATGAGCATTAAGTTTTACTACAGATGCTGWAAGTACACTGATACATTATTCTTCTGTTTCTGTTGCAAGTTTTACATCATATTTTCTCCAGTTTTTGAAACATTCGTTCATAAAATGTAAACACATGCCTCTTAATAAATAATAGTGTGTTTTGGTAGCAATGCAACCTAAAACATAAAGAAAAATCACAGAAAGTACATAGAATTCCACACAGACAGCAAGTATCAGAAAGTTGGATAAACTGAAATGACATTTTCATTTTTAACWATTTTTATGTACGGTAAAACAAAGTTTTACGGCACCCTTTAATTTTTATTCTAAAATGTTCTAGTTGTTAATAAAGTCTTTCTGAACAGTAGAGGTTGCTTTCTTAWTATTCAATGAAAACAGTGAGAGCGTTATTTGATTTACTGCGTACAGCTTGAACAGAGTTCCTGATCTTACTTAAGGAAGTGTGGAACATCAGGAGCATGTTTTGTCTTTCTGGGAATTGCCCTTACAGTGTGTGCGAGCTGAGCACCTCTGCTCTGGAAACAGTCTCAGACATGTTGATTAGACATGGAGCTGGAGCAAATTAAAACAGAGCCACAGAAGGCCAATCACTGTCCTGAAAAGCTTCTGTGTACACTTTGAATCTATTATTATCAGTAGAGGGGTAGAGTTATAGAACCCAGGGGTCTGCTGCTACTCAGCACGTTTAATGCAAATCAAGCAATAAATCCTAAAAACACACAAAGTGGAGAGGACTACAATATTACTAACGTTTGTTCAAGTAATTAGACTGACAATATAAAACAAATYCTGACGTGGATACATTCTGATGTGCTCCTCTGGCACGAACAATGTTAAAACCAGTATAAATCCACACTAAGCGTTGGTTGTACACAACAGCAGCTGATTGGGACAAAATCTGAACTAGGTGTAGAAATACCTTATCACGTTTGCTTTACAAGTTTTACATTTTCTAGAATCAAATTTATTGATCTTGTGTTCAATTAGTAGCTCGTGGTAATCGTTTATTTTGAATAAAGTTTAGAGATATTTCTACAGGAATTTGTTTAAATACAACCCAATACTGAAACACGGGACGTTGTGTTAAGTGTGAACAAAACAGAATGCAATGATTTTCTAATCTTCCAAACCCACACTTTATTCACTTTTGAACATATAAAACATGAAATATTTAAACTAAGAAATAAAAACCTTTTTTGGCAAAAAAATAAGATAATTTTGTATTTTATAGAAAACACAGATCCCAAAAAAGATGGTACGAGGGCAACTAAAGTAAGTAAAAACAAGTGGTACAAATAAGAAACAGCTGTTTCAACAACACTGACCTGTTGCTAATAATTGGGTTTAATGGCAACAAGTCAGTCAGGAAATAAAACTGGGTATAAAAAAAGAATTTTAGGAGAGGCRGAGTCTCTCAGAAGTAAAGATGGATAGGTTCACTATCCTGCAAAACAACTGCATCTAAAAACAGTGCAGCAAGTTCAGAATGTTCCTCAACAAAAAGCTGGGGATTCTATGAATATCCCATCATCTACCGTTTATAGTTTCATCAACAAATGTCAAGAATCTGGACAAATTTGCATGTGAAGTACAAAGCTTAAAATCAATACAGGATGTCTGTGATCTTCAGGCTCTCGGGCGGAGCTACATTAAAAACAGGTCTATGTTTGTTTTGGACATCACAGCATGGGCTCAGGAATATTTCCACAAATCACTGTTGATGTCATCAAATGCAGGTTAAAGCTTTATCGTGTAAAAAAAAAAGCCATTTGTGAACAACATCCAGATACTTCTCCTGAATGCTTGCAGTAAACTTGTCTCAATTCTCAGTAATGTTTCCTTTCAATCCAACCTTTTCCTTACATCACATCTTACAGACAGAAGACTGCTCTGCCAAAAGTCTTTTTCATTAAAAATGTCAAATATTTACATAGTGAAGAAAACTCCAGATTTATTAAATCACATTTGCATAAAGTCTGACATCCCGTTTTACAGTTAAATACATTTTTAACAACCAATTCCAACCATCTGCCTTTATTTTCCTTGTTTCAATCCAATTGAAGGGGTTTCATATTTGAATGAAACTCATTGCAAACTATAAAATTAACCATAAAAGGCTATCCTGAACTGTATCAAATGATGCCGTTTAATTGTATTTACTAGTAGTGTTTCAGATCTACTGATAAGTAATTCTGAAATAAGAGTTTACATTATGAAAATGATGCACTCAGCTCAATCCGTTGAAAACCACATGGAAGCTTGACTCACATGACTGACCTACATAAGGGTGGCCATTATCTTACTAGGTTCAAAAAATACAGCAGAACTGGACAAGAGTACAGTTTAAAAAGACATTTAAGTGCAAATAGAGTGAATCTGCTGCTAAATAGAGAAGGAAAGAGAAAGATTGAATAAAGGTGGATTTATACTCCGTCATGATCTCACTGAAGTGGTTGTGAGATTTTCTTTCTCATATAAACATTTTACACTCTAAAGAGTGAGAATTTCTGGTAAGCCCCTTCCACTGAAGCATACAGACAGAAACAAAACAGTGACAGAACCATTGGCAAAGCAGATGTTTATGTTTGGTTGATGATAGAGGAGTTGGAAGAGGAAGATCTTGTGTTTGTGKTGTTAATCGAGGAAATGTGCAAAACTGTTGTGAGGTGACCACCAGCGTTTCTGACAGACAATGTAGGAATGTGTTTGGCAGAGGGAGACAGCACAGCCACAGAGAGACGCCTATTTCTCTGCAGCAAAAACTGTGCTATCTCCTTCCATGAGTTGTTCGAATATAATTATACAATTTATTCGACTCTCTTTGTATGTTTTGCTGTAACAATTGTACAGATGGTTGTATTTTTTAAATGCCTTGACCAGCTGCTCCACAGTTTAAGTGAATGAGAAAAGCATACTACACAGTCGGGCAAAATTGTACGATGTACAATTAATCGCCAATAAAACTGTCACCAATTATTATTTGCTAGTTTGCAATTATGGTAGTATCCTGTGGTGACATATTTTTATGTGACCTATTCTCACTATCAAGCSTCCCATAACCTAGCAATGGTGGAGCAGGTAATCCTAAACTAACAATCTGAAACACCACCATAAACCAGAGCACAAGGAAAGCCAGAAAATGTGGAACAAGTTAATATTATCATAATAAACTCAGTTAATAGTGGAAACAAATCTACTCAGGTGAAAATCAATCTGTCCCTTACGAGCAGCAAAGTAAGGGGTGGTAGGAGAGAACGTGAGCAGTGSCTGTTAAAATGAAGACATTAGTTTGACTTACGATTTTAAGYATAATTTTAGAACACAAGGTAACTGATCTTGACTCAAAAACATTCAAGTGCTAYTGYCATCTAYTGACAATAGCACTTGAAYGTTTTTGAGTCAAGATCATATTAATCATTTTCRGCTAAWGCTACAATTAATTGTGATTAATGTTTTTGTTGATATATCCCAACCCTAGTACTACAGCTGCTTTTCTGCATAAACAMACCCACAAAGTTCTGARCAACCATGCAATACGTGGCACATACCCCTGTGAGGAAAACGTTCTGCCAGCAGCTTGCTCACAGAAAGGGTTCTTGGGGGCAATTCAAGAACAAAAAGATGCAGTTTTAGTCACGCCATTACATCAGTGAGAACAGACATTGGCACGTCTAGTGGAGTATAAATCTGCCTTCAAACAAGAATAAATAATGGGGATCAAACATGGTGGTGAAGCAGCMGAAAAACTGAATTTGGCTTTTAGAAGAATCACAACCTTTGCAAAACATCTTCTAGACCCTTAAGTTTAGCGTGTTGATGCTTTTTTTTTTAACTCAATCACATCCTGTTTCCACAGGATGTAGTAGTTGCAATCATTTACATATTTTGCTTACTGTTTTTTTGTTAATTTAAATACACATGAAACATCAATACAAACAGTGCAGGTTTTGCTTTTTTTATCTGTTTTTTGACCAGTTGACAAGGCATTGCAATGAYTACCTCTAAAAGGGTTACTGTTATTTTCAGCTTTATGATTTTAACATCTAAGAGCATCAACAGGAATTAACATTGTACAGGAAGTGGAGATGCAGATGTAAAGTTAAACTAGATACCGCATAGCGTGACATAATGACCCCCGCACGCACAAATGCACCAGAACTCAGAAGTCTTTATTCCTAATAAATATCATGCTACTAGGTCAGGGGTCTGCAACCTGCGGCTCTGGGGCCACATGTGGCTCTTTGGTCYCTCTGCAGCGGTTCTTTGAAGCTTTGACCAAAGCTAATGTGAGATTAAATTTTTTTGATTAGGTTTAGCAGTTTTTCTGTCAAATTTCTGTCAAATGCTAACAAATATGTGACCAATACAAAACAGCGGAACATGCTGATTAGATCACGCTAGCAGCCCGTAGCCACTTCAATAATCCAACTTCCAGCCAAAGTTTTTCTTTGATCTTTCTCTCAAATCCGTCAGTGTTATCTATAAGAGTAAACTAGATGATAACAAGAATGCAAAAATATATATATATATGCTTACATAGTTCAGCTGTAGTATTAGTTTTTATTGATTTTGTTTATTTACAGCATTTTTCTTTTTTACATTAATATGTTTTACTTTTGTTTTGAAGTATAAAAATATTTTAAAAAACATTAAAAATCACTATACATTTTTATTCCTATAACATCACCCCACTGGCCAGAAAAGCCTCGCTTCAACAAACTCAAACTGGCCCACRGGCCACCAGTTGATAATCACAGTTGTAGCATGTATTTTGGCTCAGGACACATTTTATCAGTAAGCCAGGGAGCAGAAAYTGCTCTTTTGAGAGTAAAGGTTGCAGACCCCTGTTCTAGGTGCATCCCAAAACTGTAGTGGCTTGGGCGGGTTTTTTTTATTTTTTTTTGGGGGGGGGGCATTGGTTGACCTGATAGATAGCCCCTCATCAGAGCTAAAGAACAAAAGAAAATCTGAAGCTCCTATGTTACATAGTTTTTGAGCAATTACTGTTTTTGTATGTTCAGATACCCATTTTTCAGATAAATTGGGGGGGGGGTACTGATTGGTGGGCCTGATGGATAGAGCTTCATCAGAGCTAAACAACAAAAGAAATCTGAAGCTYCTAAGTTTAACAGTTTCTGAGTTATAAGCATTTTTGCATGTCCTGACACCCGCTCTTTGAAAGGAGCCCCCTCCTCAAATATGGGGTCTATCGTAAAACCGTTGGCTGGCGCAGTGTAGGTCGAACTCATTTACAGCCCTGCCAAATTTCATGTTGATCGGTGCAGCCGTTTTTGTGCTACGGTTGACCAAAAATCACTGAAAAAAAAAGTACGAAAACAAAATGACTTCCGCTTAGCCTTCGCGTGCCGGCGTCATAATAAAGCCCATACATAACTACTCAACAAAATATTTTAAAGAAAACTTTTCTGCTTTTAGTCTGTCTGCTTTTTACATTACTAATAAACAGTGCACACAAATCTTTACTACTCTGCTTTTCACTTTTTAACATGCACATAAATCCAGTCTGACTGTGAATCTCTTCCTGTCAGGGTCTCTTATTGTAATGTTAGGCTTATTATCTGAGTGTCACGTTTATCTCAATGACTTATTCTACTTCTAGGGCAAGAAAACAGCTGCCAACGCTTGTGCTGTCACAAGAAAAACCACACCGTAGACAAACAGAAAACCAAACAACAAAAAGGACCAACCACATGGAGATCACAGACCTTTCTTACCACAAASACCAATCACCGGTTTGATCTTCTATGATCACACACAAGCATGTATGAGACTGCCTACTGTGTGGGAATTACTGTATGTTTGAAAGGATATCTGTCGTCCGTGTTTGTCGATGGGTCGGCGGTGGGGAGAGTTGATGCGGTTGCGGTCCCTGTGGACCCTCTCGACAAGTCCATGGTGGCGGGTGCCCCTGACTGAATCCAACCCTGAAGGAAAGCCACCCTGTACGAAACACAAAGAGTTTGTCTATAAGACAGAAGCTTACCAAAGCAGAGTAACAACAGGATGTAGTTATTTATCAAGTGTGGGKTTTTTTTTACTTCAAACACTAAAGATTTAATAAAGATTTGAAATTGAACTTTCTGCTCATATTAGAGCCTTTTAACCAAAACACTCTATACAACATTGTATTTAGGCCTTTCACTATAATCACATCATTGTATGACTGCAACTATTCACAATAACCCTAATCAGTTTGCTAAATTGTGATATTCTACACSAATCTCATAAATCGACCCAATAAATAAACCAACAAACTTTGTTCACGTGCAAATAAGGCCAATATTTGTGTTAACGGATGAATGAATAAACATTATACTGTTAAATTATTGTTAATTCTGTAACACGGGGAAAGAAGAAGAGAAGGTGAAATCTGCATTTTTTTAAAAGGGAGATCAGCATTATTTAGATTAACTGACTTAATCACATTTATTGTTTATCAGCTGGGGGCTGAATATGTCCATTACAGGGACTTTTCAATGGTAAATGGTAAAATGGTAAATGGTACTGAACTTATACAGCRCTTTTCAAGTCCCTCCGGACCCCAAAGCGTTTTACACTAACAGACATTCACCCATTCACACTCACATTCACACACTGATGATGGCAAACTACACTGTAGCCACWGCTGCCCTGGGGCACAATCAAAATACATTAAGAAAACAGACATGCTATTTGCMTTTTCAAGATTTATTACAAAAAAAAATTAAACCAACAAAATAAAAGCATTTGGCACCAGTAATCAGAGTTTTAGCATTGAGTAATTACTCAGTAGTTTGAACTGGATTTCAACGGTTACATTTCCCTGATGATTTAAAAAGACAACACTGGAACAGGAACTAATCTTTTAATGATCTGAAGGGAGACTTAGATTTTAAGTTTATCTGAAGCAGAAGGATATTTTGAACAAGATATTTGACTAAGATTTATGCAAGGACTTTGAAAAGTCCTACCTGTAAATGAGTCACAATAACTAATTTTGCTGGAAGATAAACTGTCAGAAATTATTACAATAAATGATGATATTGTTTGGAGACCACTAACATAATTTCACCAACTCTCCCCTTTATAAAGCTTACGGACGGTACCGGAACAGACATGGACCGAAGATTGGGAAAACACACAACAGCTGCTAAAGCTGTAACATTGCTACCCCCCTCCTCTATCCAAGCCAGAACAATTTATTCTTTATGCTTTTTCCTCTGGATTTATAAAATAATTGCAGTCACCTGCAAATAAAAAATAAATAAATAATCAATGGCAAACCCCAGGTTCTGAACAGTGCCTTGAGGGCGTCCTGAGGCGTTGCCAGCTGAAAGGAGGAGTCTGAAAACCGAAAATGCTCCTATAGCTAAAGACCCGTTCACGGGGCTCTTGTGCTACAGAGGTTAC